CCACTACCACTTCCACTTCCACTACCACTTCCACTACCACTTCCACTACTACTACTACTACTACTACTACTACTACTACTACTACTACTACTGCGACTACTACTACTACTACTACTACTACTACTACTACTACTGCTGCCACTACCACTACCACTGCTACCACTACTCCTGCTCCTGCTCCTCCTGCAGCTGCTGCTGCTACCTCTACTGCTGCTGCTACTGCTATCACTACTCCGACTGCTACGACGACGGCGATGGCGACGACCTGCTGTGATGCTGATCCTGCTGCTACGAAGCAGCTGGAGTTACGCTGCTCAAGGCCGATGCCTTTGAAAAGCAGGCATGAGAGTAGCCAAGCATCCTTGTAGTACCACCTGAGGGCCGGCAATATGGGGGTTTCGGAAAACAGGGGACCCTACTATAGCACCATAAATAGTAGGATCCTTATTATAAGGACCCCAAAATAAGGTACCCTAATTTCTGAAACTCCCATATGAAGGCTGCATAGAACTGAGCCATGTCTTTGCCCTTGCCGGTTCTTTGCTAAGGAGGCTGGCCCAAGGAGTTGGTTGCCTTGCCACCAATCCAAACAGCTTCAGCTCGGTGAAGCCCCTCCCCTGGTTTTGCTTGCTAGTTATACCAGGAAGCCAATGTTACAACGAGCACTGGTTCATAAAGAGCAACCTGCGCTGCCATGTGTAGATTTTGGTGAGCATTGGACTCTTCATCTTGGGGGCGGCTGCTGGTTCGATGATGGTTCGGAGAGAATCGTCCGTATGCTTTCCGTCCTGATCCACCTCAACTTTTTCCCGACCATGTAAAGGGAGCAGACATCCACATCATAGCCAACAGTCATAAGTTCATGGCCTTAGCTCCATCACCCCCAACTCTAGTTCGAAGCGGTTCCCCTATGTACAAAAAGCTACGTATGTCGGTCTGCCCGCAAACCCTTTAACCCCCCCCCCCAGAGAATAAACCTGCCTCTGCTTCGGCGAAAATCTCAGGCTCCTGGAGTCCAAAGACGCCTGAAACCAGGCCGTCTCCAGATCCTGCCGACGAAGGGCTTGAGGGCTTCAGGGTTTGAGGCTGGATTTGGGCTGAAGGTCAAAATTTCTAAATAGGAGCACCATGCCGTGTCATTTCGCAGAGTCGTTAGAAGTAGATGGCAATTCGGCTGCTGCATGGGTTCACGGATGTAGTCAAGGACGAATCAAGGTGAACAAGCCGTCGACTAATGCTTTGCGCATGTGCTCAGCCGTCTTGGACTGAGCAAACGTTGCCTGCATGCCGTTGGTAGGAATGGCCTCACACCGCAGCCGTGGCAGATTCAGGATAAAGCATCCGGTCCTCCGCATCAAGGGTGGACGTGTCCAAGATGGTGAGTGGGAGCTCATGGATCGGGTCGGAGCCCGCGTTCACCCACTCATTGAAGGTCACAACAGCATGCTTCCTCGGAGCAGACAGAACAACATTCCTCTCGTGGCAGCTTCCAACTAAATTGCTGAAACCGTCAGACAGATCGAGACCAGCGTCAGTGCCTCGGAAACGTTCATGCCCAGCTTGTCCTCAAATCCTTTGAGGGCGGACGCGGGAAATGCACCACCTTCCTTAAACCACTCGCTCACCTTGGAGTCACAGGCACATCCACTTCAGCACGCTTTGAAATGGTGAGCGCAGGCTCGAGCCGCCGTTACTGTTGAAAACTGCTGTGTACTTCTAGGGTTTAGAGTTTAGGGTTAGGGTTTAGGGTTTAGGGTTCAGGGATTAGAATAGGATCCTTTTGGAAAGTCTTCTCTGAGCTTGTGGCACTTGTTGCATCGACGTGGGCGATCGGCAGGCCCCTCATGCCCAAGCGGGTGTGGCGGGGTTGCATGGAGAAGCACGCCCCCTGGCACT